CTACTTGGCGTACTTCTATGGGTATTACTCTATTCCCCCATCCTGCAGTTAGCCCTGATATGAATCCTATTGAGAAGTGCTGGAGGAGAATAAAACAAGCTCTCCATAGGCGCCTAAGGCAGCCAACAACTGAGGTTCAAATGGTTGTAGCAGTATTAGAAGAATGGGACAAAATTCCTCAGGAATGGATCAATGGGCTTATTGAGCAGCAGGACTTCTGGGTACACGACTTAATTAAGCGATGTGGCTGGTCTACAGCTAATTAATTAATAAAATTCATGATTCTGATGCCCTGAACGCACGGACTTTTGTCCCCATGTTCGTAACAGGGAGCAGTGGACTGAAATGAAGCTGCGAAGGAGTTACACAAAATCGGATGTCATTATTGAGCGGGCATAATAGTATCATGTTGCAGAGGAATCTTTCAAATAGAAAAAGTGGTATTAGTTTGCGCTCATATTTCTGCTTCCATTTACGTGCAATGGCTGGATGATTCGCCATGCATCAATGGGAGGTTGTACTCCTCACGGGCATGCCATAGCCACAGCTGTGTAACTCGCCGCATGCTTCCCTTCCTGGAATTAATCTTTACATTCAGAACAACCTGCTGTCTATCCCACAAGCGATCAAGCATTTCCAATGCCGCCATGTACTGCTAACCAGTACTATGCTCTAGCAGATCTCGAACAAGTATCATCAGCAGACCCTTCAGTAGCTAGACAACATCATTAGGTCTCAACCTCATCTTCGGGCGACATCATTTAAATTGAAATTATCGGCGTCAAGTCATTGTCCCTTGTCAACTCCAGATTATGTGCAGATCCACTGCTTGTTCTGATATTCTTTAACGTGAGCACTTCCGTTGGTCCCCTATTTCTTGACTCTGCATTTGAGCCCATTGATCCACTCGCTGTTGTATCTTGGCCACCGCTTGAAGATGAGCCATATATACGTTTGAGTGAAGATGCTATTATACTGGCTCGCTTGATGAGTGGTCGCAGGGTAGGAAGACAGGCGCAGACGATTGCTGTTCCAGTATGGACGGCAGACCATAGTTCTGCACGGGCGAAGGCAACGTTTTGGCTGCCTGGCCTATAGCCAAGAATCACTCGAACGAGACCAGTGACAATAACACTTGCGAGTTTTTAACCAACATGCAGTTGAGGGGATAAGGATATGTGCTCACAAGCCTCCGAGCGCAAAAATGCCAGCGACCAAAACCTTCTGCTGACGACGTAGCTGCAATCCAAGAACCATCCGCACGGGCAAGATGAGCAGTAGAGTGTCAATCACCAACTCCACAGCTCCCATAGACATCCAGTATATATTGAAATCGAAACAGTAGCCACTAGCACTTGGTCCAATCCAAAGTCTGTTCACAGGAATGCAGCTGACTATTGTTAAAACACTACCGATAAGCCACCAGATAAGTACCAGCGCACCGACGATTTGTGATTGAAGGAAGAATTCGTCAATGGGGAAGATCCGACGATACATAAAGAGTATGGAGATCTTAATTGATGTCACTACTGAGAAATACAGTGTGGCAGCAATGAATGACGTTTTGAGATATGTGGTATGTGGTGTGAAATCGAAATGGGGATCGTCTCGATTGATGGCTTGGCCTCCGTCTGGATCTTTTCTGACTCCTAGACAGTATCTGTCAGTTAAGAGATAATAGGGATTGCTGATAGATGTACCATAGAGTAGAATAGCACCAGTGGATAGCATGAAGACGAGACCAACAAGGATCCACCAGTCATCAGGACCATACCCAGCCTTGATCAAGCGGCGAGTCCAAAACCGCAAAGCAACAGAGATGACAGCCAATACAGAAACAATTGTAGATGCCGTCGTCGTGGCTGTCGACTGGGCCGACTCATGCTTGTCCATGACTGGTGCAAGAAGCAGAGTAGGTAATACAAGCCCTAAGAGAAGCTGGCTGAGCGTGGACGTGAAGAGGGAGACAAGAGCCTCTTATGGCTGTTATCATTCGAACCCGTACCACACACCATCTTGGGAGTGGATGCTGACCGAGTAAGAGGCTCGGGAGAAACATAAGGAAGAAGTGTCAGGGAGGAGGCACAATAGGGGGACAGCGAGGGAGAATAAAGCACAAGCAAGGCTTAGAGTACCTAAATTTGACAGACTTTTCTATCAATAGACTTTTTGAGGTATTACAAGACGGTTGTGGCCCGGAAGGATTTGACAGAGGGGTTGATGTACACCCGGGCTCATGTCGGTGTTGGTGCAACGCAAATGTTGCACTTTCCTTGAAAGTTTATTGAATGCCGGCTACCGCGACACAAGGCTCCAACGTCATCTCGCGAATCACTAAATGGGGCTAGAGCGTCGCCTGAGAGCCTCAAGAAAATGCTTTCGATCTCTTTTCCTTCCAACAACAACAACAACCTCAATGCCAGATAACCTGGTGAAAGGAAACACCCACCGCAAACATGGCTCCCAACATGCCCCAGAACTTGATCACTCAAAACAAAGCGATGAACATTGTCATTGTACGCACTCTGATCGCGATCAAAACAAAATTCAGATTATTCACTGACAATTCTTAGATCGGTGGTTCCAATACAGGTCTCATGAATGGCATCGTCCTCAAACGCCTCGGTCACAACGTCCACATCCTGGAGCAAAACACCCAATCTGAACGATCCGATCTCGCCGCTGGCATCACCACCCACCCTGAGTTTGACGAGTTCATGGATGTCTACAATCTTGTAAAGGAGCCATGGTTTGTCCAGAGTCCCGGCGTACAATGGCTGAACAAGGCTGGTGCTGTCACTCGTGAAGTGAAGAGACCCCTTAAGATGGCCTCCTGGGGTGTGATCTACCACCGCCTGCGTGCCAACTTCGATGGATTCGCCAGCGGCTTCTGTCCCAATCCCCCAGCTGCTGGAGAGAAGGATGGAACTGCAGAATTCGATCTCGGAAAGCGCGTGACAGGTTTAACTTACGCGGAGCATTGCGTGAAGGTGTCTTTTGAAGATATTCTCAATGGCGATAAGGCCGGAATTCTTGGCGCTGACTTGGTTATTCTTGCTGACGGTGCGAATTCCGCTTTGCGCGGTATGCTCTTCCCCGAAGTTGAGAGGGTCTACGTTGGCTACGTTGCATTCAGGGGAACCGTACCTGAGTCCGAAGTATCTGAGGAAACTAAGAAGGTATTCGATGCAAACCTTTCGTACTTTTGCTTCAAGTCCAATTATATTCTCCTGTAAGGTTTACGAGTACCCTCCAGCTCTCTATTGCTTCATGCTGATCAGTAATCAGGTACATCATTCCCGGAGCAGATGGATCCCTCGCACCAGGTCATCGTCGCTACAACTGGGTCTGGTACCACCCTTTGGCTGCCGCCTCCCAGTCCCTGACCGAGATTATGACCGACAGCTCCGGCACAGTCCACCGCAACACCCTCCCCATCGGCGGCATGAACCTCGATGCTTGGGCAGAATACAAATCGCTCGCCATGTCACAGATGTGCCCTCCCTTCGCTGAAGTCGTTGAGAAGACCACACAACCATTCATCACAGCCGTCAGTGACCTAGCCTGCCCCCGTGCAGTGACTATGGAAGGTCGAGTTCTCATAACTGGCGAGGCTCTAAACCTCGTTCGTCCGCACCTGGCTCTTAGTACCACTGGAAGTGCAAAGCAAGCTCTGTTGCTGGAGAAGGTCTTCCGCGGCGAGATGTCGATCGAGCAGTGGGAGAAGAACGTCTTGCATGAGGGTCGACTTAGTGCTTTGAAAACTAATGCGTTTGGAACTTACTTCCTGTATGGAATTCTGCCTGCTATTGGATGGGTTGCTAAGCTGCTTGGTGCCATGGTTGGTGCTATGTTGCCCTTTTCTTCGCTTCCAGCTCAATCATCTGCGAAAGAGGTGTCCAGCAAGCTTCACCCTGGCACAAGTCCTAAGTCTGGGGATACTGCATGATTGATTTTACAGAAGCCAATGTTTTTATGTATTAATCGTGCAGGCGTTTGCTTTGATGTTGGTAAGCTTACACTGTTGTGGATGGAAGCTGGGAGTTAGGCATAGATAAAACAGCATTGCTGCGCATCGAAATGAAACTAGGCAAACATCCAAACAATCAAAACATACACAATAATCAACATGACCAGATTGCGATGTATGACTCACAGCCTTGATATCCAATTCTCCCTTCAACAATTCCATAAGCGCCACCTCCTTTCCCAAACATCTCAGTATCCCATATACAAACCCTCCACTCCCCTTTCCTAACACTCTACACATAGTTAAAGGGAACTTACACAGTATAACAGGCACAGTAATCACGCTCCCATGCAACGCCTCGTAATAATGATAACTGCTAGCCTCGGGCCCGGCATCGCTAAAATAACACAAGCTTCATCCACGTCAAGATTTCGTCGGCTGTCATTTATATGATTGGTGGCAAAGTTGACCTCAGGGACGCCTTGAACAACATTGCCAATGCTCGCAACTTGATTCTTCTCGAAGCCGCAAAATTGGGTCCAACAACACTACAAATCTTGTTTTCTCTCGTTGTTCCTGACACTCTGAGATTGTTTGCCAGGTGGAAAAGTCAAAGAGAGACGAAGCTTGAAGTCAGTATACGCGAATGCTCCCAATCCGTCCACATCACTAAGTGCAATTACCCGACCCTGGAGACCCTAATTGGAAGCCGGTCATTTGCGAGCACGATTACTACTACGGTCAGGCTCCAAGCAGTGAATACGATTTGTGTCTTGTTGATTTCTTTATGGGTCCCTCTCTCCTCTCGGTGGGCAAGCTTCCCTAAAAGCTCTTAGGCAAAGCTGGATCACAGACTGCAAGGTTAACATTCCTTGGGGAATCTTAGATACCTTTAGCTTAGGATCATGGCCAGAGCTTTTAAAAGGTGCAAAGCCCACACTGTATCCTGAAGCGATCTATCTGCAAGCCTTTATCTCAAAGCGCCTATGCTGCGGATAGTGGCAATGCGGAGCAAGCAAGTCAGCCGCTGTTTGATAGATCAGGCTTTCCAACGATCCCGTTGACAGCAAAGGGGCAAAGTCGAACTGTAGGACATGCCAGGTGAGCTATTTTGTCCACTATCGAGTTATTCAACCTATATAGGGGTCCCAATATATGGACCCTTTCAAAGAGCGGCTACCTTAATTCATACTCGTACAGTCAAGACACGCTCTTAAAGGGCACAGCCAATCTAATATTTCCCGTCTCCAAGTTCGACTTCAACTGCTCATCTTTCTCGGAACATTCTATAACGGACAACTGGACACAGTATCTACCTCAGAACTCCACCGCTTCTATTGATGGCCTAGTAGACCGCTTCAAGACAGAAGGATCAAACTTCTTCTTAGCGACAGACTTGGATGACTTTACGGCGAATGGGAATCTAAACTGGGTTATCTTCGGATTATTTAAAGACACTGTAGTAACCTTGTAGCAATGTTCAGTAGCCCATACCTCGCGACATGTCTTTGTACAATGCAACGGTCATTTTTTCGGGATTACTCCATCCCCTTACTCTTGCCCTATCACTTCGGTTGGGCCTCCAGTTCCATCAAAATTAATAATTTGGCGGGAATACTCGGATGTTTTCTCCTATCTTTGGCCGCTCGTGGACCCCTCTCCAGAAAAAACATCGACCAGGACTGAGATCTTCCTTTCGTGTGGTAATGCCACGATCCCAGAGGGTGATAACTCAATAGTGAATCTCTCACTAGTTGACCCGATCACCTTTTCGACACGACTGACTACTGCATTCAATACTTACTGGTTGGCATCTCTCTTTTCGGAAGTTGAATTTGGAGTTTCCACTCCTAGAACCAACGCGACCACAACGCTAACAAGGCATTTGCCGTTTCCGATTGTGGAGTGCGATTGGCTCTTCTTTAGTCTTCTCCTGCTGACATCTGCTGGGCTTTTGTTTTGCTTGGTGTTCGGTATATGGCTTCGATTTCAACTTAATACTCCAGACATGATGGGTTATGTCTCTTCAATGGTAGCTAGCAATGACTTCGGCGACTCCCAACGGAAATATGAGTGAAACTCGGTTCATGGGCTCGAACCAAAAAGTTCAAGGATGTGCACCTGACAATTGATAGTCGCGGACAGATCATGTGCCAACGAGGGTGAATGTCCTAACCATTCCTGTTGATCCTCTTGACAAATCAACGCAATAGGGGAGTTATTAGGCAAGTTAGTGTATTTATCGTCAGACGTTTTGTAGCTCGATACAAGTTTCACAAAGTTCACACCTCCCATGTAATCTTCATAAAGTGTAATACTACTTTTGGGCTTTTCTAATAGTATGAATCTTCTCGGCTCCCTGCTAATCTTTCTGTCTAGGGGAAAAGGGCGAGTGACACGATACCGGTATCTTGAGATTCTTTCGCACTCTTGTTCGCCTAGGTTTGACTGAAGATCAACATACGGGTTCAAATCTTGTGATCTTAGGTGCACTATTGATCCGAATTGCAAATTATCACGCGGACCAGTGCTGAAACTCCACCAGCTCAAGCTTAAGCGAAAGAAAAAGGGGTCAAGGTGCTACCAAAGTTTCCAGCGTCCGGGTTAATTGAATTGTCCCAAGTCTTCATTTACTTCCGCGCGATCTACCTGGAATTTATATTGTAGCAATCAGTGGTATGTAATGATTATGGAAAGTGTTTTTGCTCTCGGCCAAAGCCAAGGTCTGCAATTCCACAATCCACTTCTTCCTCGAAATCTGGGGCCATGCAGTATCTCCCAAGTATCAGATGTCCAACTGGTATTCAAGACGGGGTTGGCACGTGGATATCATGATGAGTAAGTTTGAGTTTAGCGAGATAAGATCTTCCGCAAATTTTGCACCACGGTTTCCATTGCGACGACTTCCACGATTAGAAAGATGCTCATAGTTGCGTGTCGCACCTTGATCCAGCCCAGTCATTCTGTTTCGTCACCGGGCGTCTCCCGCAAAGCTTGATGCCCTTGGGTTCGGACGATATCCCACTTGAAACACTGCATACCCGCAGAGCACACCCTTTCAGGGCAACGATGCGGAGGCTGTGTTGATATGTAAAATTTGCTTCACTCAGGCCGCGTCAAATTCCACGTGTGGCGAGCGCCGCTGTTGATTAGACTAGCATCCACAAGCGTGGGACGGTGGAACGAGTGCAGCCCAGCTTGATGGCCCAAGTAACCTTGACAGGCTAGGGGGCGTCGTGTGCGCGTTCCCTTTCTCCTTTGCCTAGCCACGAATCAAATCTTTGCGCAATTATGAGGACCACTGTCTTGCAGTTCCTTCCTCTATTGGAGTCGAGCAGTCACTCGGGCGAGTATCGTCGGTTCCGAAATGCTGGGGTAGGTCTGGACCTTGCAAGTTGGATGCAACGATGCTTCTGCTCCATATCTGCGTAATGCAACCACGACTACGTTTGAATAAAAGAAGCTGATCCCTATTTAGAGAGTCTTGGCATTCTACACGGGCCGTGGAGTGGCTGTCAAGCCAATTGCTTGATTTGTACTTGTAGCCAAGGAAGTATGCTTTGATTTGTTTGATCTTCTGCCCATCTGCTTTTTCTTGCATTTTTGGTACTTATCTTCTTGCATTCTCACGTTCTGTTCTTGAGCCTGCAATCTGTTCTACACTCTCTCACATCAAAATGGCGTTCTCATCGAAATACAGCCCAAAGCCTATCACGGACATCTTCACCAGCGACACAGATATCAACAGGCGAGAATGTCGCAGAACTGTTCCTATGAAGGTTCTCATTTTGGGACTTGGACGTACAGGAACGGCTTGTAAGTATTTTCCTCAATTACTTGACTATTCTAATCTTTTAAAGCAATGAGAGCTGCCATGCAACAACTCGGCTACGTCGACACTTACCACATGATGTCTTGTTCAATCGAGAATCCTCCTGATGCTCTTATGTGGATGGATGCTCTTGCTGCAAAATACGACGGAGTCGGAACTCCATTCACACGCGATGATTGGGATCAGTTGCTCGGAAACTGCCAAGCTGTCTGCGACTGGCCAGCGGTAGCATTCGCAAAAGAACTTATCGAAGCATACCCTGAAGCCAAAGTCGTTCTGACGAACCGAGATGTCGATTCTTGGCACGCATCCACAATGCGAACCGTCTTCTGGAGAGTCACCGACCCGGAATTGAGATGCCTCCAGTACGTGAGCTGGGCAGCTGGCATGTACTATCCCATGCTGAAGAAGTTCTTTGATACCTTCTTCGAGGGCAATTTCGAGCACAGTGGCAAAGAGGTCTTCAAGAGACATTACGAAGAAGTCCGGAACTTGGTTCCAAAGGAGAATCTATTGGAGTTCAAAGTCACTGATGGCTGGGAGCCACTTTGCCAATTCCTCGGCGAGCGAGTTCCAATGGGCTCTAAATTTCCCAACGTCAATGACAACCGCGATTTCGTTTCCCGATCGCGCAGGAGGAACCGGATGCAGATGCTGAATGTGGTGGTCAAGTTCTTGGAGATGTTGGCATTGGCCGTCATGTGTATTTTCCTTGTCTCTATGCTTTGGCGCTTGTAAATGATTGGTTCGCATTCGGAGTTCTAGGGTTGATGGAGGGGTCGGCGAGACCTGCATATACCAAATATATTCCCTGTATCATATGAAGCCAAGACGCTTGAGCAATCTTGCTCAAAATGTACCACTGCGCCTATCTTTTCCCATCCACGATCAAGCGACTGCATCAATATTCATCTCAAACCCAATCAACTATGTCATTACTCGTTCAGGAGAATAATTCGGGACGGGCCACGCGTTCAACCACTAGAAACCTTGGCACGGGCCTTCTTCCCCTTGTCCTGAGCCTCCATGATTGATACCGTGCCGAGAGCCCGCCTCTTTTCGCCTCGTCAATTCCAACACTACGGTTGGATGCTTCCCACGATACGGAGTATGCACGAGCCGATAAAGTCATGCACCTCACTTGCATCACATCAAAGCAGTAGGTGTAATCGACTGTAGTCAGAGACGTCATCTGGTGTTTTGAGGCCGTTTCTTTGAAGTACATGCTATACAGAATGTGGCTAGTCTAGTCAAGCCGGATATCATCGAGACGCTGGAAAGCTATTGAACTTCTCCTTAACCGCCGTCTACGCCAAACAACTCTTGCTTCTCTCAATCCAACACACAAACCTCCCAAGGAACAGAATCCCAGCATTATCTTCAGCCACCAAGTATCCCCCTCTTCGATTCTCAGGGGCGGTAAGGACCATGTCTGCGTCGGATTAATGTCGGTTCCAGGGTCTGCAGTGGAATTGATAACGGGATCGATTACCTTCTCCAACGTGAGGTCCAAAAGCCCGCCCACCCCAAGGATTTTGAAGTTTGAATTGAGAGCTAGCACCCTCATGTATCGCGGATATGCCGCATTGATATCAAACTCTGTCTCGAATCCAACTTTCAAGATTCGATTCAAATCTACCCATCCCGCGCCATCTACTTCATCTGCACCTTGTAGAACCCATTCGTTGACCTCAGTGGCTCCGTTCCAACTGACATAGAAGCTCCAGCCCCCATCCTCGTTCTGTAAGATCGCCACGTTAGGAGAGGTAGTAGGCCAGCCGTGCCAACCGTACTTGTAGGCTCGATATGATTGTACTTCTCCAGCACCGAAACGACTCTCTGCTCCGAAGTGTGCATCGCACAAAACAGTACCGTTGTGCGAATATTCGGTGAACGCGGCTGTGTTTCCATATCCCATGAATGCATTCCCATTCGGGAGAGTCTGGAAGGATCCCTGGGAGATTCCATGGATGTTGTGCGGGTTCTTGTAAACTGCCACTAATTTTACAGTCATCCTCTCTTCGTCAAGCTCCAAGCGTAAGCCGCGAGTATCTGCAATGTCTGGATGCGGGTCGTCGACTCCATTGTCAAACATTGTGACTGTGGTATGGTCATCAGACCAACGGCCGTCGTGTTGGTATGCGAAATTGGTAGCTTGGCCATCCGAGAGATCTTCAAACATGTTTCTCTTCCCCCCAATAATCCAAATGACTTCGCCACTGGAACCGTTGATGTAGGTGAGGCTGTGCATGTACCGACTTGACGTGAGGTAGTTTCCTTTGTAATCCTTGGCGATGCTGTTCATGTGAAAGAAATCGAAGGCTCGTCCAATCACTCCATCGTCGTCAATTGGCCGGAAGGTGTCGGATACTTTGTAATGATCTGAGGCCCTCCATTGAAAGATAAGCTCTCCTGTCTCGATATCGACTTCCTGTATTAGACAGTCCCATATCTCTCCCATGATAGGTTTCCCAAGCTCTGCAAGATCTTTGTTGATGACTTGGTAAACTGTCATCAGCGCGGTTCCATTTTCTGTGAGGCGGAAATCGTGTAGGTCGGCATCAAGTCCTCCAGCAGCTCCAATCTTCTTGAACACTTTATAATGCTTGTCAAGCATGAAATAGAAACCAGCGCCATGCCCACCAACAGCATCGTTCCCTGCCCAGAAAGTAAGGTAGCTTTCACCATTGTATTCTTGAACCATCAGGTTGTAAATCTGCTGGCCCTCCCACGAGCTTGTCCATACCAGGTGTCCACCTTGGTCGAGAATGACTGCATTGGGTTCGCTTGTAAGAGGTCCTCGTGGCGTGAAGAATGTATATAAGTCGAAAGCGCATTCTGAGCTGGATTGAAGGACGTTGAGATGGGGTGAAACTAGGTCCGTGCTTCGATACTTTTGTACTGGATAAACTCCATATTCCGCAGCATCAAAATGCTCATCATTGTGGAAGACATCCTCATCTGACTGACAACGAGAGACTGCAAGAACGAGGAAAAGAAAAACAGACGATAAATTCATAGCATCGAACAAAGAGGGGGAGGGAAAGAATGGAAGTCAAGCTTCAAAAAAATATTTGATCTGACAGGAGATAGCTGCAGCGCCAGCCGGCCAATCTTGATGATACCAAGCCATTACCTATGGAAGCTTGGCCACGAGGGCACTAATAATGGAAGTGATACCGTGGATCTATCTCAAGTTGCAACGAAGCAGACGACGTGTTGAAACACAAGCTTATCGGGACCGATGTCGTAGACGCATGAGGTGGCTGCTTCTCCACACAGTCCCTACGGTTCATGAGAATCGTTATGTGTGACGAGGCGGAAGTGTACATCCCTGGTTTTCATCTTCTGTGCATAAGAATAGACCATTCGAGGTGGTGGTGATCCCAGGCCCGCGAGTCGTTTGGGTGCGTGGAGAAACGACGCGTGTACAGCTTCCAGGTTTTGAACCAAGGGGATAGGTCACGTGCAGCTGCTGCATCTATCCCTGTTCCAAGGTTCCTCAGAGACGAGCGGAGTCACAGTGCCTCTCAAGCTTTAATCTGATCTTCTCAGTGGCGACCAGGAGTGGGTGTGAACGTCTGCGGTCAAATATGCCAAGCCTCCCAGACCTTGCTCATCTTGCAGGGTGACCTTTTAAGTCATGCCGAGGAACCGTTATCGTGGATGTTCATCTCACAGTCGGTCTTTCTTTCTTTCTTTCAATTTGATTTCTCTCCAGCCTTGCCTTTCCAATACCCTCCAATTTTCTTCCTTTTTGTTTGAGTTCTGTTTAGTGTCATGGAAAAGCATGCCAATTTTTACAACTATGCGAACACTTCGCAAATGAATCTTCCAAAGAGGAGGAATTCGATGGCGGCACAGAATTTCGCCAAGTTTCCACTATTGGACGACGTCGAAGATGAAAATTGCGATATAGAAGCTCAAGCCAAGCCAAAGTCACAGCCGGTGACATGGATGTCATTACCCAGGAAAGATCAACTCGTCATTCTATTCTTGTGTCGACTTGTGGATTTCCTTCAAGTGGCGTCTTTACAGGCATATGTCTTTTACCAACTCAAAAGCTTCGACCCATCACTTACAAATGCACAAATTTCGACCCAGGCGGGAATTCTCCAGGGTTGTTTTACCGGGGCACAGGTTCTGACAGCAATCCTATGGGGAAAGGCAGCAGATGCGAGCTGGTGCGGAAGGAAGATGGTTTTGATCATTGGACTTGCTGGTACCGCTGTCTCGTGTCTCGGTTTGGGATTCGCGAATACCTTCTTCTGGGCCGCTTTCTGGCGTGCAGTGGGTGGAGGAATTAATGGTACGGTTGGAATAATGTAAGTCCCGCAGGAATATGGGACTTGATGCACGCAAGCTGACTTTCTCAGACGGACAATGATTGCTGAAATAACCAAGGAGAAGAAGTATCAATCGAGAGCGTTCTTAATTCTGCCCATGAGCTTCAATGTGGCTGGAATAGTTGGTCCAAGTAGGTATATCTGAGTTGTGAAGATACTTTGAACTGACATTGCTAGTTATGGGTGGCCTCCTCGCGGACCCTGCAGCAATTATGCCTGATATCTTCGGTCCAGAGGGATGCTTAGGATTCAGCTTTCTTGAGGACTATCCATATGCTTTACCATCCTTTCTCAATGCGTTCTTTTTGACCATAACCACGTACATCGTTTTCTTCTTTCTCGAAGAGGTAAGGAGTTCCTGTCATAAGTTAGAGCACGTGCTAACAATCGAAAGACTTTGAAGGAGCGTCGAGGAAGATTTGATCTCGGACTACATCTGAAAGCTCGCTTCTTTCGATTGCTTCGGGGAAGGTCGAATCCCGAGGGGTACTCGCAAGTGCAAATGTGGGATGATCCAGAAGTGCCTTTAACAAACTTTGACGATAAACCTGCCCAGAAGAAGCAGGTGACACGTCGGTTGCCGTTCAGCCGTATTTGGACACGCAATGTCATCTTCACTTTGATAACTGGGGCATTTTATGATTTCCATCTAGGGTCAGTATGCTTTGTACTCGAAGAAACTTCCACTAACAAAGTATAGTGCCTTCACCAACTTATGGACGCTGTTCCTTTCAACGCCCCGCTTCCTTGCCGCCGAATCAACATTCAAACGAGTTCTTCCCTTCATCTTCACTGGCGGCCTCGGTATGCCAGCAGCAACTGTGGGGATTGCAACCTCAATTCTCGGCATGTTGGGTATGCTCCTTCAAGTGTTCTTGTACCCACCTGTGCAAGCTCGCCTCGGAACGTTGAGATCCTTCCGGTACTTCTCAATACTCTTTCCTCTGGCTTACTTCGTTGCGCCATACCTTGCCGTTCTACCGTCATCAACTGTAGCACCAGCTGCTGCATCAGGTGCATTCATTTGGATTGGGATCATTCTGGTCTTGCTATTGCAGGTCACGGCTAGGACATTCACCTTGCCAGCAACTATCATCCTACTCAACAATTGCTCCCCTCATCCCAGTGTTCTTGGAACTATCCACGGTCTTGGGCAGAGTGTATCAGCAGGATTTAGAACTGTGGGGCCTGTGGTAGGAGGATGGGAGTATGGCAAGGGTCTGGACATTGGTGTGGTAGGAGCCGCGTGGTGGGGAACAGCAATCATGTCGGCTGCGTGTTGTGTTACCGCGCTTGGAATGCATGAAGGCAGTGGGCATGAAGTTTTCTTGGAAGGCGAACAAGATGGTGTAGAGGGTGAGGCTTTGTTGAGTAGGGCTGTTGGTCCACACTCTCCTGGAATGTCAAATGGAAAAGTGGGGAGTGAAAGCAGAGACCATCAGGCTTGAGGTCCTGTCTGGCTTTCAATCTTGGATTCTTTTGTATATATCAACTCACACTATGAAGAAAGTGGTAGAAAATCGGACTCCACAATGATTGTTGCTGGGTGGATGGTAGCTTGAGGTTGAAAGTCTCGGTCCTGGAAGTTCAAGACCCGCCCGGACAACGAGGTTGAGATTCACCAACCCGTCCTGCATAATGTCAATAGTAACATTAAGCACCGATGCAGCATTGCGACTCAGCCACACTCCTAGATGACAGTATGCTTCTGTAACGGAGATGAAGCAACCGTGGTAGGGCCTGAGAAGGTACTGATTTCTTGTGGTAAAGCTTTATACCTCCCGGAGTGGTGACAAGAAGCGATAGATCGCATCAAAACATACTTCCCGTGGGATTGTTGCATTCAAACACGTCGTTGGTAGTACTGAAGAATGAGGTTGTTGATGAAATGGAAGGAAGAAGTCTCCCGTTCCGTGCTCACGGCGAGCAGAGCAAACGTGGCCCGTGCAACCCATGCTAGTGCAGTGCTAGCTTGCCGCATTCTTCGCCTGTGCAACTCTTCTCGACGACCCTTGTGACGACCAGAAACCTCGTCCTCCAAACCTCAATACCACCCCCTCTGACATCTCCCCTCGGCGTCTTTGGTTCTTTGCATCTGTTTCCTTCCTACGCTCCTTCACTGTGAACATTGGGGTCTTTTCGGCGCGCTCTGCTGGATGAATAGAGTGTTTATCTCGTCATTGAGGTGCTTCTCTCAGCCTGTCGCACATTACAGACCTGCCCGCCTTGCGTCTGCGCACAGTTTTCTAAGTTGGTCCCACAATCACAAGCATTCAGATCGTCAGACTACGAACGTTACCTCTCCCGTCTCCCATCCCACTGCTCAGGTGCGGACAATCACTACAACTTCCTTTCACAGCTTGCAGGCTTCCACGATGAACGGCGTCAATGGAGCGGCACGGGCGAAGCGGAAACAACATCCAAGTTCTGTCGACGAACGTCCTCAGAAGCAGCACAGAGCAATCAATGGCAAAGATTCGGCAGGTCAGAACACACCTGAAGTCGGCATGAGGTACGAAGACGAAGAAATCGAGGAGGAGACTAGGATCATTCCGGGCATGGCAGACACAGCAGAGTGGCAAGCTTGTATTGAGAATGTAGTTCGGAACGTGGTCTCCATTCGTTTCTGCCAAACCTGCTCCTTTGATACAGATCCAGCTTTGACCAGTGAAGCAACCGGCTTTGTGGTGGATGCGGAAAGAGGGTAGGTTTTGTTGACTCATAAGGATACAATGGTGCTGACTTGCGCAGATATATCATGACAAATCGGCATGTGGTGGGATCTGGACCCTTCTGGGGATACTGCATATTCGATAATCACGAGGAAGTCGATGCCTACCCTGTCTACCGCGATCCCGTTCACGACTTCGGTATCCTTCGATTCGATCCTAAAGCTATCAAGTACATGCCAGTGGCTGCGTTAACACTGAGACCAGACCTCGCCAAAGTTGGTGCCGAGATCCGAGTGGTGGGTAATGATGCTGGAGAGAAGCTCAGTATTCTTTCGGGGGTTATCAGCCGACTAGACAGGAACGCTCCGGAATACGGCGACGGTTACTGTGATTTCAATACGAACTACATTCAAGCTGCGGCCGCGGCAAGCGGAGGAAGCTCTGGTAGTCCAGTCGTGAACATTGATGGTTATGCGGTTGCACTGCAAGCTGGAGGACGCAGCGACGGCGCAGCTACGGATTACTTCCTACCTCTTGATCGACCTCTGCGGGCACTGAAGTGCATCCAAGAAGGAAAGCCAATCACACGTGGTACAATACAATGTCAGTGGATGATCAAGCCTTTTGACGAGTGCAGAAGACTTGGCTTGACTTCAGACTGGGAGAGCGCAGTACGGAAAGGGTTTCCCAAAGAAACTGGTATGTTGGTGGCTGAAATCGTCTTACCAGAAGGCCCATCGGACACCAAGATCGAGGAAGGTGATGTTCTGATTAAAGTCAATGGAGAGTTGCTCACGCAATTTGTCCGGCTCGACGATATCCTTGATTCCAGTGTTGGCGAGAGCGTCAAGATCTTGGTTCAGCGTGGAGGCGAGGACATGGAAGTGGAGGTTTCAGTGGGCGATCTTCATGCAATTACCCCAGACCGGTTTGTCTCAGTTGCAGGGGCCAGCTTTCACAATCTGTCTTATCAACAAGCACGATTGTATGCGGTGGCTTGCAAAGGCGTCTTTGTCTGTGAAGCTACTGGATCGTTCCGATTTGAGAGTACAGACAATGGCTGGATTATACAGACCGTTGACCACAAGAAGACTCCAGACCTCGATGCTTTCATCGAAGTTATGAAAGACATTCCGGACCGCTCAAGAGTTGTTGTCACGTACAAGCACCTGAGAGATCTTCACACTCTGAACACAAGTATCTTGCACATCGATCGCCACTGGTCGAGCAAGATGAGGTTGGCTGTTAGGAATGACATAACCGGCTTGTGGGACTTTACAGATCTTGCCGACGCTCTACCTGCTATACCTCCTGTCGCACGATCTGCGACCTTCATTCAGCTTGAAAACACTCAGCATCCGGCAGCTGCTGATGTCGTGCGTAGCTTTGTGAGGATTATGTGCCAGATGCCCGTCAAACTCGATGGCTTCCCTCGAAACAGGAAATGGGGTATGGGTGTTGTCATTGATGCAGAGAAGGGTTTGGTGGTTATCTCGAGAGCAATCGTACCTTACGACTTGTGTGATATCACGATTACAATTGCAGACTCTATCCAGGTGGAGGGCAAAGTTGTATTCATGCACCCGTTGCAGAATTACGCCGTCATCAAATACGACCCTTCCCTGGTGGATGCCCCAGTTCAGAGCGCCAAATTGAGCACAACTCATGTCACTCAAGGTGCATCGACTTACTTTGTTGGCTTCAACCAGAACATGCGGATCGTCATCGCGCAGACCACAATCACGGATATTACTGCTGTTGCCATCCCTGCGAATTCAGGTGCTCCTCGATACCGAGCTGTCAATGTTGATGCCATTACAGTTGATACCAGCCTCAGTGGCCAGTGTGGAAGTGGAGTATTGGTTGGAGAGGACGGAACTGTGCAAGCATTGTGGTTGACCTACCTTGGTGAACGTTCGCCGATCACTCAGAAAGACACGGATTATCACCTTGGTCTTGCAACTCCAACACTTCTGCCTGTCATTCGACAAATCCAAAGTGGTGTCCAACCCAAGTTGCGAATGCTCAGTGTCGAATTCAGCGCCATCCAAATGAGCCAAGCCCGAATCATGGGTGTATCCGAAGAGTGGATCAAGAAGGTCGCAGAAGACAATGCGTCACGACATCAACTCTTCATGATTCGCAAAAGAACCTTTGAGCGTGGCGAGGAACAGAAGGGTCTGATCGAAGGAGATGTTATTCTTTCCTTGAACGGCAAGATCATCACCAGAGTCTCTGAGCTGGATGTTATGTACGACCACAAAGTTCTTGATGCCATCATTATTCGTGATTGTGTCGAATTGAAGGTCAAGATTCCCACGGTTTCAGCAGATGATTTGGAGACCGATCGGGCAATCAGCTTCTGTGGTGCTATTTTGCATAGACCTCATCATGCTGTCCGACAACAAATCAGCAAGCTTCACAGTGAAGTGTATGTCTCTGCTCGTACGAGAGGAAGTCCGGCTTACCAATATGGTCTTGCTCCAACGAACTTCATTACTCATGTCAATGGGAAGCCGACGAAAGATCTGGAGTCATTCCTCAAGGCTGTGGTGGGAATTCCCGACAATACTTGTAAGTGTTTCGTCTGGCAACCTGAATGTTCAGTCTGACAACATGAATAGACTTCCGTCTCAAAGCAATGACCTTTGACAATGTACCTTGGGTCATCACCATGAAGAAGAACGACCATTATTTCCCCACAATGGAGTGGATCAAGGATGCGGCCGAGTCTTGTGGGTGGCGTCGTGTCACTTACGAGCAAGGAAAGGCAGTTCAAGGCGAGGGCCACGATGGAATCAACGTTATCGCTGGTGATACCTTCGATATGGATGAGGATGTTGGTGGAATATAAGGGGAAGGATTGAGATCAAGGTGGAGAGTGATAGGGTTGGATGAAGCCAATGCACAGAGTACCTTGTTTATGGATGTTCAAGTATAGGATGGCGCAGTCGATAATTTTGCATCTCCTGCCTTAGAGGAGCCATAAAGGTAGTCTCAGAGACATGGGAAATATACCCAATTGCATCTTCTCAGTCACGTACCCCTGCAGCCAACGTGAAATTCCTCCCAGGCTACTCATGAAAAATTGAACCATGCTTGATTTATGCCCATGTTTTATCTTCATATGTCCAGATTCCCAAGACGACAAATAGGTATCAGTGTATGAGTCCTCCCTTGCTTGATATGATGCCCGTGAGCCCAGCAGTCAGATACACCCAAACGCTCTCGCTACTAATCATAAGCTCGTAATAGATAGAATAATGTGCAAGTTAATGGCTGCATCTTGCTGGTCCTTTTCCCCACCACAATGAAAGGCCTTCCGGATCTTCAAGAATTCGTGCTGAAATGTCATAGCCGCCCTGAAAGAACGTCCTTCTCAAAGATCCTAACTCCAGTGACATCACAGAATCTGACGCCTTCAACTGTCTCAATCCTGAGTCCCGACTTACCCAATCCGTCTTCTTCGTCCGAACTCTCCCCGAAGTCGAAGTAGGCAGTCGCATGATCCCAGCTAGAGTTTGGCCCAGAGGTTCCGAGCTCCAGCTCTGCCAAGGTACTTGAGCTGATGAGATCAAGCTCCTTTGCTTTCCCTTTGCCCTTACCGTCCTTGGTTGCCTTCTTGGGTGTTGACTTGCGACGAGCTAATCGTTCAACTGAAGCTTCAAGGGCCAAGTACTCCAAGTTCATGCCAGGGTTGTGAGATACGATGTCCACAGTAAATTTGCGGAACTCACGCATGACCCAAACACAAGTATCATCAACTCGAAATTGGATGGTATGAATGGCGCGGAGAGATTCCATTTTAGGCATAGATTGAAGGAGAGCATGCTATTATTCTGTTAGTGGATTTCATGGGAGCGAGTAAATACGTGACATACCATGGTACGAATGCCAAAGCTGCAAGCCAATTCTTCCAACACCTTAGCTTGATGGCAGAGTAGCACTATCGTCTTGACGTCTAGATCCCATTCTGCTCCAGCGTCGTTGCGAATCATTAGCACCTTGAGCGTGCTAATATGCCTCTTGAGAACTACTCTGCGAATCTGATCGATGGTTACAGTCGTCTTCGCAGCAGTGCTTTCGACCCGAGCCTTGGCTGTGCGCTCCAGCATAAACAATTCGGTCAACAAGTCCAGATTAGCGATGAAAGCCAGGAGCGGTAATGTGACGTTGTCTGTGTGGATTTTCTGTAGAGGCAAGGCTGATACCTTGTTTTCTCGCGCCAGCATATTCCAGAATTGGATTTGTGGACCAACATTCAATAGGGTGATACTCCGAAGGACATGGATGTCAATGGCTCGAGACAGGATTGAGGCTTTGATGGGCACGAGATATATTGCAAGAGATGTGAGGGTGAGGCCACGAGTATCTCGAATATACTCCGTCATGCGGACGTCAATGGTAGATGAGGTCTTCAATTCATCGATATGGTCTGTGACTTCTTGCATTTCTCTCTGCAAGTCTTCAACTCGTTTCGAAACTCGCTTGAATTCCGCCTCTGCTTCCGCAATAGTTTTATAATCGATGTCTTGGACGGAGCCAGATTGCAGCTTCAGCTTGAAATCTTCCATGCGCTTTCGAAGTAGCTCCCCCTGTTTGGCGATATCATCATGGGAGCTTCGAATGGCAAGATGGTGATCCAGAATATGTAATTTCGTGACCCAATTGATACTGTCCACCTGGAATGTCGACGATTGTTCTGCCTTTTGTGTGTCATTCTCTTCAGGTTGACTCTCGGTGCTGGGCGCCTCGAAATCGATGACCAACTCTTTGCCTTCTGGCTCTTCGACATCAATATCTTCGGGATTGGGAAGTCCAGGCTCCGGTTCACCAGTCCTCTTCTTGCGGGTTTCAGGGTCGTCGAAGAGACCGGGTTCCTCCGAAGCAGCACCACTCATCAACACATCATCTCCGCCATTCATGCTCGCGCTGGATGATGCTGGAGTAGCTTTTGTCGTACTGCTACCGTCACTCCCAGTTGTAGAGGATTTGCCTTTCCCCTTGTCGATGCTTTCAATGTACATTGCTGCGGCTTTTTCGATCATTGCCAGTGTCTCCTTTCCTTCGATACTTACCTCACTACCAGGTTTGATGTGAGCCATCAGTGTAGCAGCCACAGGAGCAAGGCTTCGAATGAACTTTCTCTTCGGGTCTTCGTCCGACTTTGTGACCTTTTCAGGCTCAGTAGTCGCAACTTTCGACTTTACAACCTTCGCTTCCAAGCCAAAAACTCGACCCAAGACTGCTTCTTGTCTTTTCTTTTCTTGTTGTGCGCTCAAAGCCTTCGCGCTCCCATTGAAATTCGAAGCTGGCATCGATGTATTTGCAGGAAGATTTGGTGGTGGCATTCCTCCAAGTCCAAAATCATCTTCTTGGTCAGAGTCGTCATCCGAGTGGACATCTGGTGGTGGTTTCCGAGATCTGTTTGCCAGAGATTCTGAGAAGGATAGCTTCAGTGTACTCAGAGTCGAAGAGCAGTTTTGTACGCAGACTTTTAGTTCGTCGATGTAGTCCAGTGTGTCCATGTCCAAGATTGAGAGGGTTCTTAAATTCTTGAACCCAGAAAGCGTTAGAGGTATTGTCTGAATACTAGGAGCATTCTTGGGGCTGGATTTTGTCGAGATCTTGCTGCCAAGGGAGAATGAATTGGGAGTATTAGGTCCATATAACCCGAGGGGTAAAGGTGTGGGATCTGCACTGTTTGGATTGGTGGTTGGTAGCAATATTGGTAAGGCTGGAGGAGCTTGGTAATTCGAAGGGCCCGCCTGCATCCGTAATTGCAGATGTTGGAGTGCCTGGATCTGATGTAACGCCTTGAATACTTGACGACTAAGCTCAACACGAATGTCCCATCTGATCGAGAGTAAGTACAAGAAGTTGTTCTCGAATTAAGGCTACTGACTTGAAGGTCTCCAATGCCCGAGCTTTGCGCAACGTCAGGTGCAGCAATGTGTTCATGAACTTGCCGCAGCTCACATCGTACAGATAATGGCGATATGCACGCTCGCCCTTGTCGCCTACACTTACCGTCTCCAATATGATCTCTCGCAGATGCTTGGCGTAGTCGTAGTCGCTGGTAACCAAGGTATCTAATCCGCCTGCCAGCCCGTCGATTGGAGATTCGTTCGCCGGATCATCTTCGTCGGGAAAGACTATGTGAAAGGTTCGGTACAATTGCTCTGCGGCCAGGTCTCGGAACTGCTTGCAAACAAGGGAGAGGGCAATGAGATCTGCGGAGGAAGCCTGCGGGGAAACGATCAGCTTTGAACGAGCCGGGTTGCGCCAGTAGATGGGATAGTACATATTTGAGGATATCCTTCTGCGTTTCAGATGGCAGATCCAATATTGAAAGTTTCGTAGAGCTCGAAATTGAGGTGGGTATTGCTGAGGGGATCTCGGTGATTTCGGCCATGATGGTGTTGGTATTGTTGGAGTTTAGAGGCTCCAAGCCGAGAGCGTCGAGAACTTGATCAAAAACATACTCTTGATCAAGTTTGATAATGGGAGTTGTCGTCTTTCTTCTGGATTGCTTGCTGGGAAGGGCCGGCATGGCAGAGAAGAGAAGAGGGGAAGAAGAGGAGAGGAGAGAGTTCTTGGTGTGAGATGGATTGAAGGGACAGGTCGGTTATCAGTGGACGTGGGCGTTTCGATTAGCATGGGCCTGTAGAGATTTCGTGGGGATGACAGGCGACGGCGTGGATGCTGGTGCTGATCTGATCGACGGGAAGTGGAGAGGCAGGCAACTCAAGGCGATTTTGCTGAACCCTGCAGGAAGAAAGGATGATTATCTGGCAAACGGATTGATGCTGTAATAAATTTCGGGATCTTTCTTTTTTCGTTGTTGTGAAAGGTGGATTAGAGAGTTGTGCAGGCAGCCGCGAGGCTGAGAGCCAAAAATTCAAGGATAGCACGGTCTACGGAAGCTTCGTGCAAGCGCCGGCAGCCTCATCAGCATCAAATTCGACCTCACTTATTCTGGAAATGCTGGCGATGCTCAAGTTGAGCAGAACCAATGCGAGTAGTGTTTTTACTTCTTTATATGCACTGCTGCGCAGGCACGGAACATTCACGAATGGATGAGACAGCAGTTTCTAATTCGGCAGAGAGCGCTGATCAACGAGCAGTATTCAAGCAGCATCTGGCGTATTCTTTTTATCCCAACTTCTGTTTACTCCGCTATATTACTAAATTTCGATGGCAAAGTTCTTATCCTTTCCAATGTGAAAGACAAGGCTGCTCGAGTTGAGTCCCAATTGAATCGTTGTTCGAGAAGGCAAACGTCAGAGAAGCACCAACTCTGAAGGTCAGCTTCTTCAGTCACCGTGGAGATCATGAAGCCTCCCAAAGTAAAGGGGCATACCATAGTCTTGGAACATTATCTGTGTGGAGTCAGATTAAGAGCTTTTTGCAGCGGAGAATGTGCACACTGAAGTCACGTGAACCATGTTATCCTCGTTCCCCACGAATATTTACCTACGATGCCGACCTGGCATGGAGATTATGCTTATGGATAGTGAATCTGTGGCAATTTTCCTATTCTGTCTGCTCGAAATCTCACCAGCACGTTGAGGTTGGAATGTGGATGATCCCAAAGCATTCCACTGCGGTCAAACAAAATCCACTCAGAGAACTCTTGAAAGCTGTACCAACATTAATTTTCCGTTATCCTCTACGCAAACATGATCTCAAATCCTTTCTCTAGACCAACTCGTACCATCTTCTTTCTTGTCATTTTCCTGCTGGCGGGAATGTTTTACTATCGTCCAGTTCATGAACTGGCATCGAGCTTTCCTCATCCCGATACAGGAACCTTACATCAGTATCTAAATCGTAGCGACCACGCCCAAAAGCCATTGACTTTCATCTCGAAATTGCAGAAACAATTGCGGCACTCTGTTTGCATCCCAGATACCACGGTCGTAAGCTCGACTCGACATCATTACAGAACGGGGACGAAGACAGCCACCAAGACAATTATCTCTACCAGAACCGAGGCGGTTCTGCAGCCAACATGCGATCCCGTTATCGATGCTCCAAGAGCTTCGAAAGAAGACGCTACACCGGAACAACTCGCCATTGCCAAACTCCGAGATGAGGGTATTGTGGTAATTTTTAAAACAGGAGCACAAGAAGTATCACACCTTGCGATCCAAATCGGCACCACACTTCGCTACATCTCATCAAACGACATACTGTTCTTCTCCGATCAACAAGGCAGCATCGGTCCTTTTCTCATCAATGATGCACTACGAAATGTCGACCAAAAGCTCAAAAACGAGCACCGAGATTTTGAGATCTACCGACAGATCAAAGAATACCAAAGTACGGGTCAAGATATATTGGAGATGCCAGATGAGAAGAAAGGAGCTGATCGACCGGGATGGAGGTTGGACAAATACAAATTCATTCATATGGTTGAGGAGACGTTTGAGATGCGACCAGATGCGAAGTGGTATGTGTTCATCGAGACAGATAGCTACGTCTTTTGGGACAATCTCGCAGAATGGCTGAAGAGGCTGGATCCCAAGAAGCCTTGGTATATCGGAAGTGGCGTGACATCGAGTGGTATTTTGTTTGCACATGGCGGATCTGGCTATATACTTAGTAATGCCGCCATGAACAAATTTCTGGGTCCTGACCAACCTCAGGGATTGGCAGCAAGTTGGGATGCTAGAATGGCAGGGTTATCATTCGGAGATTTGGCATTGGGGATAGCCTTGAAAGAGAAGGGAGTCACGCTTAGCATTGCTCATCCACTGTTGAATGGGTACAAGCCGAGTACATTTACATATGGGCCTGGAAGTCATTGGTGTCAACCTGTCGTTACAATGCATCATATTGCACCTTCAGAGGTCAGCAGTGTTTGGAGGTATGAAAGGAAGAGGGAATTGCTTTGGATGACGAACGTGAGTGGAACCATGAGTATGGATGATGCTGACTTTGTTAGGCTACGTTGTTTGCAGATTTGTATATGCATTTTGTGGAACCTCATTTGGTGGATGCGAGGGATAATTGGGACAACCTATCCCATGGACCTGAATATTCTCGGAAAAGGTTTGAGGATCAGAAGAATGAAGAGGCTCCAGTGAGGCAAAAGGGTAAAGAGGCCAAGCAACAGGAGAAGATCATGCTAAACAAAATGAGCGAGAAGAAGAAGGATGAAGCTAAGGAAGAAGCATCTACGGCTGCGTCTGAAGATAAGGACAACGAGACTGTGTCCAGAGATACTAAGAGTTCCGAGGACTCTGAAGGTACGGCGGATGATGGTACCAGTGGGAAAGCTGCGAAGGCTGTGGAAGATTCGGAAAAGCCAGACAGTGACGCATCTGGAAAGGATAATAAGCCAGCAGATGACGAGAAAACAATAGAGAGGGGGAAAGTCAAGAAGCCTGATGAAGATACGAGAGTTAGCTTGAGAGAGTCTAGAGTGAAAGAAGATACGAAATCCAGCAAGGACACGACTAGGGATAAGGGGAACTCAACCACGCTCCAAGATTTGGCAGAGGATGTGGGAGTCTCACGGGGCAGGAGATTACGAGTTATCTCAGATACGAAGTCGGAGCATGCCGTTCCTCAGAACGAAACTGGGCCAGGCGCCCTGAAGAATCAAACGACCCCGAGAAAGAAAACCGATATAGAGAGAATAATGGAGAATAGCTATCTCCACCAATTCGAAAAGCGAGCAGCTGGGTTGACAAAAGCACAACAGACTGCCCATCTGTCGTTCGAAGATTGTGGGAAAGCATGCGAGGAAAATAAAGAATGCTTCCAATGGGTTTATTATTCCGAGACATGTAAGTTGGGAATGACGTTTCGGCTGGGAAATTATGTGAAGCCGACTGATAAGGTGGTGTGGAAGTCTGGATGGTTGGTTTCAAGAGTTAGGAAATGGACGGAGACGCACGTTTGTACAAAGCCGGAGTGGTTGGATTTGTAGATTCAACTTCAAAATGGACGCGACTTTCTCTGATTTTTTTTCTTCTGACTACAACTTCCGTCTCACGTTTTCTTTCAGCCCAACAACATCTTCGATTCCAAGTTCCCAGATATCTTTGACTCCGATCATCATCACAATGAAGCATACTACCGAGAAGTACCTCGCGATCTATCGCAGCTTCGGCCTGCTGGCGCTCGTGTGGGAAGTTATCAAAGATGAGATCAATGATTCCAATATTCAAAGCTCCTCAATAATCGTTCGCAGCCCGAACTACGCATTCAAATGCATCGTAGCGGCTATTCTGGACATCGGCAAGAAAGACATAGAGCGTATCATTACTGTATAACTATAAAGACTATACTGTAGTCAAACATTAACATTCTTAGGGGAATTTACTTCGAAATCGTCTTTTTTTCCTTCTCGAAGACATTGTCCAACCTACTACCCCTTATGCCGGGCGCTCCGTAGAGTCTACCGAGGGTCTGCGCCCGCCTACCCCTAGAAATTCGACTTATTATGGCGAACTATGCGGCTCCCGAAGCGAAATGACCCTGGATCAGGGGGGGATGCACGGACCAGTCCAC